GTGTTAAGATACACTTTAAAGAGCCTGTGACATGGTTTTTCTTTAATTACAAAAAATGAAGAAAATATCCTAATATTTAAGAAATGTGGCATCATTCATATGATTTTTACCCCGTTTGTCACAAAACCTGCCTATTTTTTTTTTTACTAGACTTGGAGCAGTCCAACTGAAACAGGAAGTGATGTCAAAGGGGAACTCTTTAAAAAAGGGTAACTTCCTGGTCTTTATAAATCTGACTCTTATCTATCTGATAATGACTCAAAATAATCTACAGAAACATCTGATTCTTTGTAGTCTGTTTTTAGTCATAATAACTCATTCAGGCATTCCTCTTTGACATCACTTCCTGTTTCTGCTCATGCAAATATCTCAACAACTGTATTTTTCAGTGTCGTGAATTTTTGTTTGCACTTCATCATTAATGTTATCTTTCCAAATATGCACTCAAATATAACACTTAAATTTAATGTCACAGGCACTTTAATTCACTAACTTTACATTTTGGTTTCATTCTGTTTAATTAATGATCTGATGGAATCTGTTGGGACTTTTCTACACCTGAAGTTGAATTTTAATGATTTTTAAACCTGATCAAGACCAAAAACGTTTTGTTATATTAAATACTGGCTTCCAACAGTTTGGTAAAGTGTATTCTTTTGGTTTTGTCTTTCTTTAATCACATACAGTGACAAAAACAAAGTGGTTTTATTAACTTTATGGTATTTTACTGCCCTCTGCTGTCTGAAAGTCTTAACTCCACTCAGTGTCTCTAAACAGATTTCAGCTCATCTTGAGGTAAAAGCTGGACATTATTATACAAAAACTGATCCGTAAACCTGAAAACATTTGTTTCTGATGTTTTACTCCGTAGTAAATCTGCTTTTAACAACACGGTGCAGAATGTGGAACAGTTCGTTTAAGGAAAGTTCAGCCGCTGTCAGCGAGGCGACAACCGCAGCCGCTCATTGTCCTCTACGGGAAGGGGTCGTCAGGTGTGTAATTAAAGCTGGCGTCCAGGAACACGGCCAGGGTTCCCAGGGTGGTGATGATGACAAACAACCAGAGGAAGAGGCGGTCCACCACCAGGGCGATGAACTGCCAGTCTGCTGTCATCTGGAAACAAACGGAAACAACGACTCAGCACTTTCACTGCGGGGGGGTGGAGGGGTTGTCGGACGGAGAGATCTGCTCACCGTGTCGTCCGTGTCCTGCTTCTTCAGCTGCTCCGTGATGTAGGTGACGGCGGAGATGGCCGACTTCAGGTTGGGAGGGAGGATCAGACAGAAGCGATCCGAGTCCGGGAGGCGCTGGAGGTGAACGGAGCTCTCACATCTGAAACAACGACACGAGACAGCCACGGTTTCAGGGTTAAAATAAAGTTTTCTCATCTGGAAAAGGAGGAAAACCTGATGTGGGAGTAGCTGAGAGTCATACCCAACAGATTCTGAAAGCTTAGAAATGATTCAAAATCTTTATTCAAAACTTTGGCCTCCGAGGTGACAGCAAATGTGTGTTTCTTCAAGGAATGCTGGAGAACTTATGATTCATTTTTTGATGCAAAATAAAACAAAGATGAATCCTACAAAATAAAAGTCAGTTTGTGGATGTYCACCGCAGGACGTTCTGTCCAAAGACTTCCTGCAGCTTTGAGGGACAAAGACAAGCTGAAAACATAAGAATCTCTTGTCTCATAAGTAAATGAAACACAGAACAGACTCTTATTTTGAAAATCAGCAGCTAAACTGATGTCAGAGACAAAATGAATCTGAAAACTACAGAGAGCTGTTTACATGTCTGCAGCTCACTCAGTGATCAGTGAGCAGAACCTGTGGCACCAGGAGACGGACCGCTCAGAGGAGACAGACAGAGACATGACGACACATGGGACTGCTCGACAAATGGACCGGCTGACAGAAGACTGACGTCTGGTTCTGACGGATCAGATTAGTGCAGAGCAGCAGAACAGAATCACATACGTGCTCCACATTCCACACTCATGGAGCCCAGCGCACTCAACCACCTATTTTTAACCTTCAAATTATATTTCACTGCAGAAAGATCGACTCTGGAGCCCAAGAGGACAAGAAGTCTTGGAAAGACAGACAGCCACTTCAAAAAGATCCTAACGAGAAAAAAAGATCTTAACGAGGTGAACCGTCCCAGTTTGAGGAGGAAAGAACTGAGAATCCAGACAAACACGGGAAACTCAAACAAATTAAAGATTTAAAACAAAACCTAACGAATCAGAAACAACTTACAAAACAACTCAGGGAGACGCAGAGGGGAAAAAAAACATGAGAAATGCAGGAGCCAAAATGGAGATATAAAGAAGACAAAAAGGAAGACATAAAAGAGACATAAAGGAAACCAAAAGGAGATACAAAGGAGGCAAAAAGGCAACATAGAAGAGACAAAAAAGAGATATAGAGGAGACAAAAGGAAGAAACAGTATAAAGGAGACAAAAGGAAGACATAGAGGAGACAAAAGATAGAAAGGAGACAAAAAAGATTATAAATGAGAGAATGAAAGATATAAAAGAGACAAAAAGAGGTATAAAGGAAGACATGAAGGAGACAAAAACGAAGATATAAAGGAGACGAAGACATAGAGGAGACAAAAGGGAGATATAAAGGAGACAAAAGAGAGATATAAAGGAGACAAAAGGGAGATAGAAATGAGACAAAAGGAATAAATAAAGGAGACAAAAGGGAGATAGAAATGAGACAAAAGGAATAAATAAAGGAGACAATAGGGAGATATAAAGGAGACAAAAGGAATTTATAAAGGAGACATTAGGGAGATATAAAGGAGACAAAAGGGAGATATAAAGGAGACAAAAGGGAGATATAAAGGAGAAAAAAGGAAGACATAAAGGAGACAAAAGGGAGATGTAAAGGAGAAAAAAGGGAGATATAAAGGAGACAAAAGGGAGATATAAAGGAGACAAAAGGGAGATATAAAGGAGACAAAAGGGAGATATAAATGAGACAAAAGGGAGATATAAATGAGACAAAAGGGAGATATAAATGAGACAAAAGGAATAAATAAAGGAGACAATAGGGAGATATAAAGGAGACAAAAGGAATATATAAAGGAGACAATAGGGAGATATAAAGGAGAAAAAAAGGGAGATAGAAATGAGACAAAAGGGAGATATAAAGGAGACAAAAGGAAGATATAAAGGAGACAAAAATGAGACATAAAGGTCTTAGACATAAACATAGAGGACAAATGAAGTAGACCTTTGGGAGAACCAGAACAGTGGCATGAAACACTTTTAATCATAGACTGAAGATGGAGAACTGAGGACATAAAAATCAGAGCCAGTTTTTAGATAGGGGTTGAAGCTGAGACCAAATAAAACAGAGAACAGGTATTGGTGGGCAAAACTGGAGCAAAAACTGACTTTAAAGAAGAACCGTGATGGATCGAACTAAAGACGCAGAGGAAACCAACCAAAAAAAAGATGAAAGATCTGAAAATAAACACAAAAAGCTGCTAAACACAACAGTTAAAAATAAACCAAATACTTCGAACCTACAGCTGTATGACAAACCAACAACAGAGTAAACAAACAGCTGAAGTCTTTTCACTCAGCTTCTTTACCTCATCAGCATTCCTCGGTCTAATCTCTGCTCTCCCTCCACTTCATTTCTGTGGGATTAACTTCTAATCTAATCTAAACAGAGGCTCAGAGCTCAGCAGCCATGAACAGGTGTGTGGAGCTGAATCTGGTGCCATAAATCTGGTCCGATTCATGGAAACATCTTCAGGGAAGACAGAATTTAGCCATAAATGTAGCAAAACTTGCTGAGTCATGTCTCCAGCAGGATTTGTGTCTTACCTTCCCCTCCAGGGTAAGACGAGGTCGGGGTTGATCTTGCGGACGAAGTACTCTCCTCCAGGTTGGTGTCCACCAAAGCTCTGGGCGGGCGAGCCGTCCTTATCGGACTCATCCTGCAGCAACGGTTCCTCTGGTTTTGGTCTCATCATGCCGATGTATTTAGGCAGGATGTGAATAAACACCTGGAAAATCAGGTTTGGTAAATCCCTGAAGCCGGGTTTTGCGGCCCTATTGGACCCTGTTTGGATGTTTTCTCTGTACCTTTCTGACCCAGTGTGGCATGATGTGGGTGCTGGGTGTTCGGTGGTGCAGGTTGAGGACGACCACGCTCAGAATGACGGAGAAGGTGACCAGGATCATAGTGAACATGACGTAGTTGACGATAATCGGGATGGCGAGAGACGTCTCGGGCACTTTGTCGGCCAGCAGCAGCATGAAGACGGTGAGGGCGATTAGTACAGAAATAGAGAGAGTCATCTTCTCTCCTGTGAAAGGATCAAGCAGAACTCTTCAGGGTTTGTACCGGTGCTGGAAAGACTTAAAAAGTCATTCTGTTTTTCTGTGTAAAATTAGAATATTGCATAAAAACATGACATGTTTGAAAACTATTCCAGAGGCATAAAAACTGGAAGTAACAAATCAAAGAGAAAAAATCAGTAGTTCCTCTGGATGGGTTCTTCTTTAGTGAAATGTTTCATCTCTCCTCCAAGAGACTTCTTCAGTCTGATGAGTTTCAGGTGAACTCAGCCTTATAAGCACTGCCTCCATATGGTGGACAAAGAGGTTAGTCACATGCAAAAGAGGGCCATCGTTTAACAATAGGCTTGATTAGTTCTATTGTTCATAGAGGGTCATGTGCCCCATCACCTGACATTGGTTTGAATGCTGTGGTGTCGTGTCATGTGTATGTAGTGAATGCAGGCGGGGCTCAAAGTCCTCTTGTTTTTGTTTTTTCGCTATTTGTGTTGGTATCGTTGGGGCCCTGATTCACAGCTTTTGCTCACAGGGGGCTGAGTCATACTTGCAATGACAGCGTTGTAGGAGGAGGACAACTGGACACGAAGGCCTCCACCTCTGTTTAATGGTGGATGGTTTTTCTTCACAAAGATGGCTTCCTTTACTCCTCTCTCAAACCAGTGATCCTCTCTATCAAGGATGATCAAACACAGGAGCCAGGGAGAAAGAGAAGTCACACAAAAGACAGGCCCTGGAGCCGTGCGGTTATCCTACCTGGGCTTTTCTG